CATAATATTTTTCGATATTTATTATTTTAATTGATAATACAAAAATTTCAATTAAATAATTTTTCTGGATAACAAAATGTCAATTTATGATTTTTTAAAGAATTCTGGTGTACAATATTATTATGCTAATATTAATATTTTTAATTTTTATTAAAGACAAACAATAATTATTAGTATGTCAATCTTAGCATAGTTAAAAGTACACTTTAAATTTGATAGTGGAAATACAAATTAGTAGTACACTTATTCTCCGATGATTAAAATTAGGTGTCGGGGAAATCATGAAAACCTGTGCAATTTCAGAATTTGCTGTTAATACAGAGTACTTTTAACAAAGTTTTGCGGTACAAACTTTACTTAAATATAAGAGACCATCCAAGATTATGAAATTTTTTTTTAGTAACATTTGATTAGTCATTATTTATCTATACCCTAAAAACACCTTGAGTGTAATTAATCCTTCAAGTAATCACATCCTATACACATAACTACGTCGCTTTCGTTTTTAAATGTACAAATTGGACAATTCCACTGTGGACTCGAAAATTCAATAGGTACGAAATTTTGTGACTGTTGATTTGTATCTGGTCGCATGTTCAAACAAACCCCACATTGCAATGCCAATGGGTTATTATCAAATGTACATTTTGGACAACTCCATGATACATTATTGATTCCGGGAATTTTATCAGCTGGAATCCGAACTGCCGATGAACTTCCACCATATGGTGCTTTAGCAACACCTTTTAAAGGTTTACTGTTATTACTTCCATAACTGTCACCAATTCGTTCACTACCACACCAAACCATATCATTTCTCCTTCTTTCAGCCGCAATTGCTGTTAGTTCCCTCATCGGAACTCCATGATGTTCCCAGCCAACTCCTCCAACTTTCTTACCACCACCTGTCATTATTTTCCTAGCCTCTGCAGCTTTTAATGCTTTTTGTTTGGCCATGGCCGGCGTATCATTATGTGATACACCTTGACCAAGCTTATAACCATTTCCATAAAATCCATGACCTACTACACCTTTTAGGAGTAATTCATCGTATTCGTCATGTAGTTCATCAAGGAGCTTGTAGAATGTTGCATCGTGTGGACCACGTTTGTTATGCGTTAACCTTAAATAGAGTAATATTAGATATACTAAAATAATTATAGAATAAATAATCAAAGTTTATATACTCATGCAACATCGTTCCGATGAGTTCATTGAAATCAATAAATTGACGTTCATCATAATAAGGACGTAATCGTATACATATTTTTTCACCACTATTTATATTTATTCCTAAAGAAAATTTTCTTAGTTCAAAATTTATACATGTTATATTCATAGCTATATAAATGAAATATACCAAGTAAACTCTTATTTTCAGGAAAAAATTCTTCTAATGACCCTACTTTCCAATTATGTTTTTGCATTATAGGTTTCACCTAATAATATAAAATAAGTATACGTATCAGACAGATAATACAATATATATAGAAAAAAAAATGATGGAAACTCTAGTTTATTAATAATAAAAATACATGAGAAGCCAATTTTTTAAGTAACTCTAGTGCCTCAGCATGATTTGGATAACGATCTAAAGATTTAAAGTTGAAGATACGTTCGTCTATTTTTATTATGTTCATTTTTCTCTGAGAGTTTTGAATTTCATTTTTTTTCTATTTATATCAGTTTATTACTGTACGCGGACGGAGTTGTCAGAATTCTGCTTTTGGGAACGTCCAAAGCAGAGTAGGTTACACAATACCGAAACCCAGTGTAAAACCTTTGTTATATATTAAGAGGTATATAGGTAAAATTGCCTTGCCGACATTTTTTGTTAGTGTCTCAAGATAGGTTTAGAATGCCATCTTTCGTATTTTTGCATTTTTTGCTCGTCGGGTTTGTCAAACTTTCGTGATTTGATTGGTCGATTACACCTCATTCTAGCTTTAGATTCCCACTTATGAAAGACACTTATTTTTAGTACTGTAGAGTTAAATTGCGGATTCTGCGGCGATTTTAAATAATACAAATTTTCGCAATAATGTTATA